CCAATCTATATATATATATATACATACATACATAGGTATATACGTATACGCATATAAGAATACATATAAATCTCCCTACACATGTGCAATGTTGATCCGCTCTCTCTCTCTCTGCCTCTCTACCCTCGTCGCTCGCTATGCTCATTATGACTTACTATATCGGATATCTACCTTCGGTCTCTCCCTCCCTCCCTCTCTCTGTCATTGTTGTTGTTTATCGCGTTCTCTCTCTCTCTCTCTCTCTGTCTCTCTACATATATGTGTGCGCGTGTGCTCACATCCGGTCTCTACTATCTGGTATGTACTCGTCATTCTCTACTATGTACTTTACGCTTCTGACCGCGGGGGCAAGGGCACTGGTATATGCCCGCGAGCAAGAACTCAGAGACCCGAGAAACTTCCAGTGCCCGGGAACTCCGCGCCCAGAACTGGAACCTAACAGCCCAGCCGCCCGTCAAAAAACCGCCCAGAACCCGGCACCAGAAAACAAGGAACCCCAAACCTCGAAGAGGGACCACGGCCGCCCACCGAAATCCGCCTGGCACCATCACCTTCTCTTTCAATCTCCGCTGGGCCCACTTCAGTTTAAGCACTGGTTGGGGATCCTCGAAGGAGGTATTCAACATAACAAGCCATCGTTTCTCTAAAGCTGGTCAGTGCCGTGTTGTGTTGTCAGGTCGTCACTATGTGCTCAGCGTGCCGCACTGTGCCGAACTATCAAGTATTGGCCTAACTCTCCGCGTGCCTCGCAGTGCCGTGACTGACTACCTACCAGACCACCCCAACCCAACCCGAAGACCCGAATTCGACCCGAATTTCGGGTTGGGGGGGGTATGGAATCCATGTGTTTTTTCAACGTTCCCCGACCCCCCTCCACTGGAAATGGACGGCAATTTGAGGCCTTCGGGTTGGGTTGGGGTGGTTTGGTAGGTGGTGAGTGACGTGACACAATTTCAATTCACAACCCCAATATAGAACTTGCCGTGCCGTGCCGGATTGTGAAATCGTCAAGTCGTTGACGCCTTGCCACGCCGCGCCGCGCCGGGCTACCAGTGTTTGCATACGACGCTTCTGCGGGTGCCATGCCGTGCCGTGCCGCCATGTCAACTCGTCATCGAGTTCTCCACCGTGAAGCGTCGCGCCCTTCTGTTCCTTCGCGAATGCGTACAATGCCGAATCGTGATGTCAATACGCGAATCCATTCTCCAAATGCCGCGCCGTGCAAACAATGGCAAATTCGCGAATCCGTTCTCCGCGTGCCGTGCAATGCCGTGACGTGTGGTCAATACTTCGGTTCGTGGACCAATTCTCCACGTGTCATGCCGTGCCATGCTGTCAACTCGCGAATCAGTTCTCCACGGGCCATGCAATGTCATGTGTCAGCTCGCGAATCTGTTCTCGTCGCAGCACGTTGTGATATCAGTTCGCGAACTCAGTGGAAAGCGTGGTCCACGTGCCGTGCCACAACGCGCACTCATCTCACGATTCCATCCTCCATGTGCCGTGCCGTGCTGCACCGCGCCAAGCAATACCGCGTCGTGCAGATGATCGTGAAACCGTTCACCGCGTGCCGTGCAGTGCCGTGTTCTCATCGGCTGGTTCGTGAACTCACTTTCCACGTGCCATGCAGCGCAATGTTGTCCATGTATGCCGCCCTCGCCGTGCCGTGTCGTCATGCCTCTTCGCAGGACTGTTCTCCAAACGCCGCACTGTGCCGTGCGACGTTATGCCACGGCGTGTTCTCAACTATTCCATCTGTTCACAACGTGGGATTGCCTGCCGTGCCGTGGTTACAATTCGTCACTCCGTTCTCCACTTGACAGGCCGTGCCATTCAGTATCATCAATGCGCGCATCTATCCTTCACTTGCCGTACGCTGCATGCTCTGTGGCACACAACGCTGTGCCATGACCTGTTTGAAACCATTCTCGACATACCATGTAGTGCTCCGTGGCTAGCACTCGTGAACCGGTTTTCCACCTGCTGGTGCCGATTCGTCGATTCGTGCTCCGTGCGCCGTGCGATGGCATAACGTGCCGTGTTGTCAGATCGTGAATCCGTTCTCCACGTGCCGTGCAGTGCCATGCCATGCCTTGCCGTGCCATCATTTCGTGCATTCGCCCATCCTCCTCCTCCTCTTCCTCCTCCTCCTCCTCCTCCTCCTGCACCGTGCCGCGCCGTGCTGCTAACTGCGTGAGGGGGACCTGGAGTGCAGTGCCGGGGGCCGCTGCTGCCCACTAGTACATCGATGAGCGCTAGTAACACGCTCGGCGCCTACATCTCCGCTGGGCACCCATCGAATCTGCATGGGGGCTTGCGCCGGCGGGAATGCGAGTCGTGACGTGGCCTCGGCTGTTCTGAGACGCCCGTCCGAGACGTCTTGGGACCACTGTGGCGCTCTGTGGTGTCATGAGTTGCCCACCTTCCCTGCTTCTGCCTCCACACCGCCTCCTCTCCTCTCCTTGACAGGCACTCCACGACCTCAGACGAGCTGTGAAAGGAATGAATGGCTCACCTACAGCCGAAAGGATGACGACGAACAGTATCTCTTAAGAAATCTGGTCCAGCGCCCCATAACTTCCTTAAAACAAGCTTGGGCCAATGTCTGTTATTTGCGCTGAAAAGGCGAAAGTGCTCAAAGAACTGGGCCACCTTTCCGGCTAGTTGGTTAACCGCGCAGGGTTTTAAAGAAACCTCCAAAAAGAAATGTGAGACTACTTTGTCCGCGGGCTGATTGGCGGATTGGTACTCCAACACTCAATGAGCATGACTATTCCACTACAGCTGCCACCACCCAGGCCTCCGCTACAATCGTCGACGACGCCGTCGCCGTCGTCACGCTCGCGCACGTAGCATGCACAATCCCTACATTTACGGAAAAGACCACTGGCCCAGCTTTGCGGGAGGTTTCTTAAGCAGATGCTCGACTAGAATCGTCGACGCCGCCGTCGTCGTCCTCGCACTCGCACGCTTACTCCTCACAATCCCTACAACTGCGGCAAGGAACACTGGCTCAGCTCTTGGGGAGGATTCTGCAAACAGATGACCACGAAAAAACACATCCCCAATCCATCCCAAAATCGCGGATTCGCCGAGGATTCGAAGATCGGCCAAAGATTTCGGGGTATGTCTTGCGCTCGTCGTCGTCACCCTGGTTTAACCCTGCCCCAAAACCTCCCTCCCCGAAGTCTCGAGGTGTCTGCGTTTTGTCCTGGCCCCCGCGTTTTTGGGATTGGGCGTCTGTTTTTTTGGACGCCCGAAGTATGCCCAACAACAAATGTTGTCCCAAACCAACAGCGGCCGCTGTTGGGGAGGCGGCCTTCTGTCTCGAGTGGACACAGGCCGCGGCGGCGTGGACAGCGAATCCTGTTCAACATGAATAGGAACTGCTGTTGGGCATTGTGCCCATTCTTTCCGTGCCCCGTGCCCACTTCGTGCGTGCACATTTTTGGGATTGGGCGTCTGTTTTGAGTTCGTGAATAGAGGCCGAGCTGGTCGGCCGGCGGGTGCGCTTCACCTGGCCCTTCATTGAAATTTGCTTTTTCCGGCCCTGCATTGAAATCTTGCCTGGAGAGCGGATCCTGGTGTGTACGGGACCCTGGTGTATACATTGTTCGTTGTGTCCCTGGGAGATCGGGGAAAACAGTACACACCACACCACCCCCGCGTCGTCCCCGACCCTCAACAAGTCCTGGGATTCAAGAAACAGCCTGCCACTGGTAGTGTACGCGTTCCAGTTTCCGAGACTAGAGTTATGTCGGGCGTGTCCCCCCACAGGTGGATTTTCTACGAAAAATAAAAAACAAAATGCCCCAAGAAGGTCAAACAATACTCAAACAATAGTCCCCAAACAATATTTGGACTATTTCTTGACGATGTTTGATGTATTTTCTAAATTTTCGTCGACAATCCCCCTGTAGGGGGGACAGGCCCGACTTACGAACAAAGGCCGCGCTGATCGGCCGGCGGGTGCGCTTCACTCCGGGGGCCCGCGGGAGCCGAGCGGGCTCCACTCCGGGGGGGGGGGCGCGGGGAGGAGGAGAGGAGGAGGAGGAGGAGGAGGAGGAGGGGGGAGGAGGAGGAGGAGGAGGAGGAGGAGAAGGAGGAGGAGGAGGAGGAAGAGCAAGAGAGGAGGAGGAGGAGGAGGGAAGGAGAAGGAGGGGAGGAGGAGGAGGAGGAGGAGGAGGAGGAGGAGGAGGAGGAGGAGGAGGAAGAAGATGGGATTTAGAGGCCGAGCTGGTCGGCCGGCGGGTGCGATCCACCCGGGAGCCCGCGGGAGCCGCGCGGGCTCCACTCGGGGGGGGGGGGGCGCAGGGAGCACGGAGAGCCTACCGGCACGCTGCAGCGCCACCTGCACGCGGGGGGTGAGCCACGAGCCCACGGGCCCTCGGGGGAGAGCCACCAGAGTCCTCCTCGTCGTCCTCTTCCTCCTCCTCCTCCTAAAAAAAAAAAAAAAAAAAAAAAAAATCGTACCCAGACTATTTTTGACTATTTCTTAATTTTCCCCCTGTAGAGGGACAGGCCCGACTTGACACTGGCCTTCGGGGGAGAGCCACCAGAGGGGCACACGGGACACGGCGGGCTCGTCGGGGGAGAGGCCTCGGGAGGGCCAACTGGAGAGCTCGGCGGAGCACCTCCCGCCGAGTCCAGCCGGGCGCCTGCAAGAGCCGCTCGCCCCATGCATGGGAGCGGAACGTGGAAGCAACGACACAGTAACGCAATCGTGTGCCGGCTCACGGGCAGGAGCCCCTCCCACCCACAACGCACCGCCACGTCCTCGTCACCGCTCGGACGTCCATTTCCCCCTGCATGTCGCGGCTTCTTGCGTGTACTGTTCCGCAAGATGAGCCACGATGCTCCTCGACGCCCCGCGCCGAGACAAAAGCACGATGTCAAGCGTCTCCACTCCTGGGCTTCGTACCGGTTCGACACATCCAGTGGAACGGGAGGGGGCCAGAGGCGGCAGCAACACAGGCAGCGCCCATGATGGCGGCAGTCCGCCGTCAACCGACGACCATCCTCCAGCGTGATCTCGAACCGCAGCTGGCCGTAGTCCAGGGGGTCCGCTCCCGAGGGCCTGCCACGAGCGCGCGGCGAGGATGTTGAGGAGGGATATTTGGCGGCGGGGGCGGACGAGTATGAAGAGGAGTTGGTAGGGGAACAAAAAATTACATCAACATAAAAACTCGGACATCCGCGCAGATTTCTCGGATCGGCGCTGGACCCCCCTCCCTGGCGCGCGGAGCGCGCCATGGCCGGCGCCGGAGGCGCCGCCAGGGGGGCCCCAGCGCCGATCCGAGAAATCCGCGCGGACCTCCGAGTTTTTATGTTGATGCCACTCTTTTAGGGAGCCCACAAAGGACGTACGCGCCCAGCTATGTACATGAACACGGCCCCTCGATCCGCGAGACCGGCCGCGTTATATACGAACATTTGCGCAATGCGTACTCTCGAAACCAGCGTGGATTCATGTACATGTACGTCCTTCTTTCGCTCCTGATTTTTGTTCCCCTAACAGGGGGAGGCACCATAGACAGCGCACATCGAACTCTGAGACTGCAGGAAGAGGTGGGCGCGAACAGGACAGAGAACCTGCAGGTCCGGTTGTGCTGGAGTGGACCAAAGCACACCCCCGGCTCACCCACAGCAGGGCTGGACCGAAACGTTGTTGTTCGTTGGGTGTTCGCTTTTTTTTGTCGTTTTGCTCGACCTGTTCTCCCGTACCTCCCTGCCAAAACGAGAAGCAAAACGCAGCCGAAGTCCGGCAACACAGCGTCTAGGTCCAGCCCTGACTCACCGCGCGGACCCGCTCGGGCAAGGCCGGCGCGCGCGGGCTGGGCAGGCGGGCCAGCCCCCTGCGCTGGCGCGGCAGAGGCTTTTATCGCGCCCGTGTCAGACCCCAGGCTGGAGCACCTTGCAAAATTGAGCTCGGGCAGCCGCTGTTGTACAAGCGTTGTTGTGCAAGCGTCTGCAGGGTTGGCGCGGGCAGACGCGCAGCAGGAGGTGCTTACCAGTATCTGCCCCGACCTCCCGCCCACACCGAGGCGGCGCCCTGCTGGAAACGCATGTGCTCAAAATGCGAAGCTCTCCTTCTGCCTTGACCCCCCTCGCCCCAATCCTGAGCTTCAGAGTTATGCCCCGCGCGTCACCAGGTGTTCCCAAGGAGCCTGCAACGACCAACT